GAAATCTGATACGGGATTAGATGCATCTTGTTAAGAGAAAAATAAATCTATAAGTTTAGTAATACATGTAAGGGGACATTTATCAAGGTCCGTGGAAAAGAAGCGACAGATGAGATTTCTCAAGAGTTCCTCTTTATATAACGAAACATATGGAACCCAGAGACGAAATCAAGAGTTTTAACAATAGAATATTTAAGGTGGTGGAAGTTAAGAATGAATTTTAGTGCTTTACTTCAAAGGACGTAACAACTTTCAACCAACTCAGTTGCTAGATTTACACCGGGAAACAAGTGGTACCCAATAAACAGTTGTTCACAATACGTCTCTAGGTTCATGAAATAGTTGTCAAGAAATGGAAGTCAATGATGTATCATGTAAAGGTCGGATGAGTTGCAAGGATCAGGTGAAAAACTAACTGAACGTATGCACCTCTGACGTGAGCACACAGTATACTGATTGACACATTATAAATGAAAACCAATAACTCCACGGTTCGTCGACAATTTATACCGAATCACCAATCCTATTTACCTCACAGGCACCCTAATATTGGAAAGACATCTAGTAGAATCAATGCAATTCGACACAAGAAGATCGAGGTACAACTAACTTTCAAAGTGAACTTCAGGTTCAGACTGTTTTTTTGAAGAGGAAAATGCTAAGAAGAAAACAATTAGATAATTCAATGATGAATTATATAACTCAATAAAATCAGCTAATTTATTGATTGCGTCAATTATGTTCACCTATTACATTCTTGATTAACTACAAGTTCATTTCTATTGGGTAACCGAAAATTTTAAATTGTCTGCACTTTCTTCTTCTTCTTCTACCTCTTCTAATAAGTGTTACCATTGAAGACGTCTTATTGATCAGTGGTTGGTGAACAATCCAATAATTTTCTACAGTTCTGTTTTACTCATTCTGTCGTTATAGGAGTCGTGTTTCATCTCAATAATTAGGAGGTATTAGTTATAACGCAATCATATCAGTGGTAGTAATCAACATTCAATTCAAGTAACAATACTAACAAATCAGTCTTGTTTTAAGCCGTTATAGATATATTGAGAGGTAAAATTAAATTATTTCTATTTTGCTTATAATTTACTAACTGAAATAGGATTGGTTCTTCTCTCTTGTTGTAGTTACTATTAGATTATGTGTCTTGAAGGAATTCTCATAGGTTGATTAAATTATCCAACGTGTAAACTGAGTTAAAGCTATTTTACTGTCGAAACACCAAGTGTGCTTAAGAAAGAAAAACTAGTCACTAAGCTAGTACTATCTATTATAATATGACTGTTTATATCTACCGTAATTGCTAGTTAATAGAAGTACTTGAATATGTATTCAAGAATATTCATATTCTAGTTCTTATTTATTTCATTTGTCGTTCGTCATCGAATATGACTATAATGAATACAGGATTTACTTTCGCTGATAATAACAGACCAAAACAGGATAAGTGTCTAATACTTTTCTGGTTTCCAATGATCATTACAACAATGTCATTTAATGATGAAATCTGTTGTTAGATAGGACAAATCAATATTACACGCTAAAGGCTTTTTCGAATGATTTGGATTTTTATAAAACATAGACAACGATTATTGAGGAATTTTGTTTGTTACATCTTGCGTAACTATGGTGACAATAGTGGTACATAGTTAATGTATGCATATCAAAGGAAATTAACATATTCATTTTGTGAAACGGATTGTTTCTCAAAACATTTTGGAAAACAATATTTAATTATGTTGGATACACAGTCTATGTAAAATGTTCAGCGTTAAATGACATAAAGAATAGTCTTAACTTAAAGAAAAGTACATGCGTTTTACAATTTTTGTGTTAATCAGATGTAAACTTTGGGTAAATCTCGAGATAATTTTCACCAAAAGGCAATAAACCTTTTGGGGAGGAATAAAATCAACAATTTTGTTAGCATTTATTAATTCTAGATGACATCTGCCTTCAGTCATGAGGTCTGAATCCTTTATAATCTTTTTATTATACTAATTTATATTCCCTTGAATCATATCTGTGATGCCTAAAGTTTTATGCGTCCACTGACCTGAGGTTCACTCTAATAATTTATGTCGCCGATTGAATGTGTGATTACTTGAACTAGTGTACACTTTTACTAGTTTCTATGTTGCGAATGACTGACTGATCTGTTTATTAATTCAAGCTCTTGCTTCTAACCAACCTAGTAGTGAAGTGATGTAAAAAAAATCGGTGATAGAAATATGGATCTTTTTATGTGCAGTGTGTCGCAGCTTCTAGGAATTCCATCAAAAACGGAGTAAGTCTGTTGAAATAATATCTCTTAGGGTTATCCACAGTTTATTACAGGTATTTAAAATATGAATAAAATTTCTTCGTACTTCTAACAGAAAAATAAAGAAAAGTGAACCAATAAGACCAAATATTGGTATCGAATACCTCTAAAACAGGTGATGTAACACTGCACGTAAAGACTGGGATAAAATCATCTTTGTGATATCAGTTTAGTGTCTAGTCGAAATACACTGACATGAATCATCCCAGCTTTTGAGAAGGCTTAATAACTCAGACAGCATGTGACAACTGAGTCATGTTTACATGTATAGTAACTCTGTTGATTCCATAAACGTCATATTTTCATGTCCTTATGTCTTTTACTCTTATGATTCTTGAATGTATGTTTATCACTCATTATTTTATCTAACGCCTGTTTCCTTACTACATCATGCATTGCCCATTATGATCTATACTAATTCTTGTAATGAGTAGTATTGCGATTCGACATGTTTGACTTTACCAGTCTGCAAGTGTACGAAATATACATATCCAAAATTTATCTTTGTATTTGACATATTTTATTCCGTTATTTTATCACGCAAATTGAGTGGATCATTATATTCGAGGGTTGGTAAAATGCATATTTCCTTAACGCCGGCACAGGCGATCAAACTGGAGTCAAATCAACTGGACACTAAAGCAGGCATAGTAATAAATAAGCTAGTGAGTATAATGAAACACTGTCTGTTATGTAGAATTTCACTCGCTTATACGAAGTAAGTCTAGATGGGTATTTATATGAATATAATATAAATAAAATTAATGTGGAAAAATAAACCATCCATACGTAGTCTGAGCATCCGTGTCAACTAGGCGTGTTATTCGAACACTTTTACGCCATTTTCGACCTTTCTACATTCGTCTCTTATCGTTAACCGTTCTAATAACGTTTATGTATGTCCTTGTGAATGTTAGCCTTATCAATGCCTGTCACCTATGCTCTAATTAACCAACTGCATCCATTAACTACCCCATTTAAAGAGCGATTCACTCATTATTCACCATGTACGCGAAGGTGCTTTCATCTGAGCTTCCTGTACGTCTGCGCAAACGAAAGTATGTAGTAAACCTTTAACAACGATTTTTTATCTAGACTTCATTACTGCCGTTATATAATGAGGGGTTAGCCTAAGCATGATGTATGAGATTCAAAGGGAATTAACTTTTTCTATTTCGTACAAAATTTGTATCATTCACGGAGTCAAAACCGTGGTACAAACCCATAGTTAAATGTTATAAGCACTGTCTATTATTACGATCTGAAATATGGCACGCCAAATATAAAGGAAACAATAATGTTTAACAAAGATGAAAACATTTTTTCAGAACTCAGCAATCAATGAAAAATTACTTAGTAATACCGTGGAAAATCTATAGGAACAGGGTGAAACACAAGTCAGTGATGTCTACCTTCATTGAATAGATAACCATTTACTTTAAAAAATTACTGCGAACTTACAGAAATGCAGTGTGAAACATAGTCTAGCTGTCGATAGCAGATGGTTTAAAATTTTTATAGTTAGATGAATTGATGCGTCTTTTGACGTTTAATTCTAGAATAGAAGTGATAGGATATGTTTTCGGACAGGATGGTATTTTGAGTGGCGGTTTGGTATATTTTATCAGGACAGTTTTCTTGGGTCGATCTGAGGTATAATGAGGGAAAGGGCTGAAACAACCATCTTTACATCCACCCATTAATTTTGACGCACTTGCCGGTTTGAATACAGATCTCGGGTGTATTGAGTTTTTGATAGTTGAAGTGAAAGGCCTTCGTTTAATACGCACTTGGTGGTAAGGATTTTTATCAAAGTATTGCTGGGGATGCATGTTGAGATAAAACTGTTTTCCAGATGATGAGCTTTCTTTAGCACTTGTTTTTTTAATTTTATCATAAGGATCACTCTTGTAGTTTGGATATTTTCCTATTGTGATATCAATGTAAGAGCCGCAGCCCTTCTTGGCTGGGGAAGTATAAAAATTCTTCTTGTGAGATTTCATTTGGTTGTTCTGCTTCGTTATTGGTCTAAAGTAGGGTATGGGTCCACTAAAAGTATCTATAGAGCTGCCCAAGCCAAGAAGATGATGGGTTCCGTTCGGAGGAGCCCAAGCCTTTCCTCTTATTTTCTTTGAGCTCTCCTTTCTTTGGATCCGAATAAGTCTTTCCAGATCGATTTTGTTATCACCAGTGAAAATTCGCGTGAAAGGTCCAAAATAACCATCCGTATTTGCGGACTTGAGTTTAAATCCATCACAATACATCTGTTTACCTTTGAATGCTGACCGAGTTTGGTGACTGTCTTGTTTATCATACTGGTCACGTATAGTAACATAAGACATCTCCTTGAATATTCCAAGTCTATCAAAATCAGCTTGCATTGTTGGCATTTCGAAGCTAACACTAGTTTACTAGCAAATGTGTTTGAATGACTTGAGTAAATATGAACTGAGACAATACACCCAGACTGATTTCAATGAACATAATATGTGACCTTGAATCCACACTGAGTTCTGATTCGATATAAGTGCTCTGTTAAACAATAAAGCATAGTCTCATTACTTTCAAAACTTTTAATTTTTTATTTCTAAATTGTGATTAGCTAGTGACTATACTGTTATTTATATTTTAGGCTAATGCGCCTAAAATGAACTCTAGTGACTGCGGCAATTTCGTTTTTCGGAGCTGGTTCGCATGTTGGTTAATGCTACTAAGAGCATAACTGGTTTTCCCAATTACAATAAGACGCTTCACACATAGTCATATGGCATCTGGGAATTCTGTAATCGTATCAAGTCAAATAAATGTATCATCTACGTCAGTGTTGGCGACGGAAAGTTCATGTCAAAACAGTATCGCTATATCGGATTCTCCTCGTCACCATACGGTCCCACATGGTGAAGCTCATCCCCCTCCTACGCAACTCATCAAGTTAAATTCTCTTGCTGGCTCGACAGTCTCAAGAAAAGAAAAACTTCATACATCTTCTCGATTCGGTGCTCCAAAGAGTCGTGAGCTTAATCCTTTACCTCTTATTAAAGGTGTGTCTCAAGTTTTTAATGTACATCTAAATTCATTCACTTCATAGTGTGTTCGTGTCTGTAGGTACATCGCTATTCGGTATCCTTATTTTACTATGTTTGTAATTAGAGGCACTCAGTGAACAGTTTTTTTCTAGAAATAGCTCTCGTATTGTTTCTCAGCTAAGGAATTGGTTTGTTGGTCGGCACGGTGCTGTCGGTTATTTAGCTTAGGGATTTAGGACTTCGTAAAATATCAATCATGTGAAAATAAATCTACCAATCTTCCGCATTCTCCTAATTTCTTCAAGCCGTAATCGCTCTGATTTAGCAGTATTAAAAGTAAGGTATCTCCACCCAGAATATAAAATCTTAAGTAATGAAATGTTTCAGCACCTCGAGAGGCTTGTTAAAACCATTCAAACTAAGATTCTGAGCATTTACTGCTTTTCGTAGTCGTAATAGGGTTTACGTAAGCCCTTGAAAGTATCTCTAGTTCTTCAAGACTTTCTAAGGATACAGCTGTTTTTGTGTTGTTTGCTGTGCTGTAATAGACTTCATCAGCTTCGTGTTGAAAAGCCCTGTTGTAAACGTATTTTGTAACGCTATATGCTCCAAGGCGTATCTAGAATTTCCATTTGTTGACCCCAAACTTGATGAAATTCCATTCGTGTATATGTATCGACAGATAGCACAGTGATCTTAATTCATTGGTGTAGGCCACCTATAAAATTGATATCCTCCAATCTCTTAGGACATCTAATGTATATTTTCTGTGAAAATACTTCGTGTATAAGCATGTTATCTTATCGGAGTAAACTACTCCAGCCAGTGGTCTTTGAAACTAATTTATTAGCGAAGTGGGTTGAGTTGGTAATTTGGTCTTGTGAGCACTTGTCACTTGACTCCATCGCGTTGCTGCCCAATCATTTTCAATGATCTTGAGCACATTTTATTGCATCGCAATCCTCAAAACTCAATAATAGGCAAATCTGGATTTTCTACGTAAACTGAAGTCCAGGTGACAAATAGTCTTAGTAATATTATTCGTTTTGGAAAGGCTAGTGGATGGTCTTTTTTCTCGAACACCTATTAAAGGACAGAAGATCGTTCATTTTTATCAGAATTATGGATACAGGTATTTGTATAATCAGTGGTATGGGAAGACGGTTTAAAAATTCGAAATCGACTTTCGGAAACTTAGTGTAAAGTAACTCTGAATTTTTGGTATTAGTGTGGTGTGTGTGAGATGACGTCTTCCTCCACCGGAATTTCGTCGTTGACCATTTAGCGATTTATCGTAATCCAGTAACTTTATACTTTCGAATCACAGTCATTAAATATCACCCAGTCAGTAGCTGAGTTCATAAGCATGCGTTTGGTTGAGTAGCGCGGACATTTCCAGGAATACTTAGTCCCATTCTGGTTTTTAACAATTATCTTCCTCATATTTTCGACTTTATTTCTGTTATCAGTCTTTTATAAGTTGCCGAATCTTTTCTTTCATGAGTTTTGGGTTCATGCAGTACCGCTGCGTACTATATTTTGTAGACTACACTGTCGGAATCCCATACGAAATTGGGTAATGGGTATATTTGCTAAAATTCTAGAATTTAGTTATAAGTCATAATATGGAGCTTTGGATATATGCGAGTCAACCTAAGTTAACATAACACATCAGTATGAGATGAAATTAACAAGGTGTATAACAAAGGAGTCGAGATAATTGCAGTAGCATTGATAAAGACTAAAGACTGGAAAATACATTTCGAAAATGTTCAACTTTAAAAAATAAAAATAAGGAAGCTACTGAAGAGATAAAGAGCAAATCTATTCGAACCATTGCCCCTGGTTATAAGTCATATAACCCAACGTCTGCAACCACTGGTATCTGCATCGCTCGTACCATAACCAGCTATCTATCAAGACGACTCAGTCCAAAAGTCAAAGACTTTGTGGACTGGTGACATTTATTGTTTTAGCTAAGTGAGACAGTCATGTTGTTACACTAAATCACCGTTTCATTTTTTTGTTTTTCTTGCAGCGTATTGGTGTATTTTATAATATCAGCTGGTTTAGTTTAAAATAGTAAATTTTATTTTATTTTACCAGATTCTGACAATCAAGAAAAGCGAGAGGAGCTATTTATTCAAAAACTAAAACAATGCTCAGTTGTATTTGAATTTGTACCGGATATTTTAAGCGATTTAAAAGATAAAGAGGTGAAACGAGCAGCTCTGCACGAATTAACTGAATATCTGACTGAAAATTCCGGCATAATTACAGATTCAATATATCCAGAAGTGGTTCGAATGGTTGAAGTCAACCTATTTCGTACATTACCACCACCAAGTAATCCATCTGGTGCAGAATTTGATCCAGAAGAGGATGAGCCAACATTGGAGGCAGCTTGGCCTCATTTACAAGTAAGCTTGTCGAAAAAGTTTTAGTTGGGGATGTTTTAAAAGTATCACATATTTTTAATTTTAAAAGTGTATTAGAAAGGCGGATTAGCGGTTCATTCGCTCAAGTTTTGTTCACTCTTTTAACTTAATACTCGCCCCAGTCACCCAATCCCAGTGGTCACGCTTGCCCACCGTGGTCATCCAGTCGGGATATATTGACTAGAAAATTCTCTTCTTTAGATCCTAGTATATCGAATAGGTCAGTTGGAGAATGGTAAGGCTCTATTAAGGTTTGACAGCTAAGTTGTATTGCGGATTGAGAAGTGGCAGTAGTAGGCAGTTTCCCTCAAACAACCAGCACCTACGGCGACGCTACTTTCTCGCAACAAAGGAATTTGAAATGGTCTGTCCTAAAAATAACATACCTCACCTTATCTTACACGTTTTATTTCCAGTTGTAAGGCCAAGGACTACTCTGGAAAGACCGTATCTAACCAGCCTCGATCAGTTTTTCCTTATTCTCTGTGGTCACACCCCCAGGTCTCTAAGACCATTGTAATGCAGCTCCCTTTTTAAACTCCTGAAGATGTATTTTTTGCGGTGTTAATAATCGGGAATTGATAACTACTTACGTATTTCGACTCTGTCTGATTGATATTTTGCTAACTGAAAGTTTATGTACTAAAATTTGCGGCAAACTGCTTGTGCAACGGCAGACATTCGAATAACCAAATCTTATTAAATTTCAGCGCAACCTCATTATTTGTACAATTATACGAAACATTCAGATAAATTATAGTAATTAATCCCATTTTCCATAGTTTAGTAGTAACTTTTCAACTCAGTAATACTGCTTCTATCTGGTTGTAAAGAATCTGAATTTGGTTTGTACAGTATGAAGTTTTTTAGTTAAACAATGCTTTTTGTGGGTAAATTGCAATGAACTCCAAACTTATGTTCAAAGTTTCCCCACTCAAATGCAATTTGCCACACATCCAATTATAGTGTACTGTGATCATATTGTATTCTTCGACCAACATAAATAGTGCAGTAGCAATAATTAAAACATTACTATTCTAATATTATGCAGAGTAACTTTCTTTGGGATTAATAATCATCTTGTTACAACACTACTTAATTTATCATATCTTCTTACTAAATTATGATTACCAATGATGTAAATGCTCTCACCTGCTCTCACTACCATCATAAACGACTATTGTGACCAATTAGTTATATGCAAGTTGATTTTACGCCTTTCCCTGTTATTTCTTATCATTTCCATACTGTTTTCTTCTGACACAACAGTTCGCCTACAGTGTGGACTGTCATATATCAAGTCATTAACTGGTTGGAAGTTAAATGTTATCACCGAATACGAATTCTTAGTCAGTTTTTCTGAAATCACATACACCATTCAAACTAGCTCCCCTTCAACGTTCGTATACTAATACAGATCAGAGAACATAGGTTTGGCTGTCTTTAGAGAGTCTCAGCATCGACGTTTGTTGTCTATTTGAAACCCGCATTCAAGGTTGGTGAAGTACTACACATTAACTCATCTATTATTTCGAGAGCTTGTTTCACGTGCGTTCCTCTGGGAACCCTGTGGCATCTTCGTCCGGTTTTTTGGTGTTTGTGTCCCAAAAAGGGCCATAGCTGAGACAACACTAATTGATAGGATCCCCGTTAACAGTGAATCACATTCTATTACATTAAAAAACCCCACCGAAGTGAGAAATCCGTATGAGGAACGATCTCTTCTGGTTATCTCCACCTGCTCGCTGACAGATTGCAACTCAAATACAATTAAGGTTGAGTTCTGTAATCAGTTAGACTATCTCAACAAAACGCGTACTAGCTTGAGAATCGATTGTTCATGTCAGGCATCTATGCACACGGACAAGTCGTTTGAGCAGCCAATGGGGACTCGTTGTTTTCAGATCAGACAACGACGAACATCTCCTGTAAATTTAGCAAACCTCAATCTGTTTCTGGCTAGCACTAGCTATCGGCACAGTCATCGCTAATGTGCTGCTACCTGGCATCCTCCTACTGCACCCCAAAGCTCGACTCAGATTAATTAAATTGCGACTAGCTAACACTAGCGTGGTTGAATACATGACTGCCACTCTTCTTGTAGTACTTATCTAGACTTTGATTATCCCCTCATTTCTGCTATTGATACCTGTACGTCACATGTGCAACACCTACCGGAGGGTAAGTCTGTTTCCCTTTGCGTCCAAACTATTTGCTTCATCATGCTTTGCCAACTGTTCATAGCACGTGAAAGACTGACCCACCAAAAGCAGGTTGGTTTTCGTCCTAGCCGAGGGTATATTGATCATAACTCCACAGTCCGACAAATGTTTGAACACTGTGATACTTGTTGTAGGCCAACAACTGTAATGATTATTGACATCACGACCACCTTCGATTCGTGGGACAGAACTGTTCTTTGAGATTGTCTGTTGAAGAAGCGTATACCTGAGAAGTTTGTTAACATTTTAAAACTCCTTTATACTAATACATCAGGTAGAGTAGTGAGAGCATACAACCACTTCTCTTCATTGTTTAATTCAAACAATGGGGTTAGGTAGGATTGCAACTTTGCCATCGATGACACTCTGGAAACAGCTTTGATGGACGTAAGTAATGGTGGTATGGATCTATCACACGAAGAAAGACCTTGACTATGCGGATGATACACAAGCCATACCACCCACACTTAATCAGATATCAATCAGTGTTCGTAAGTATGGCATGCGTTTTGCACCTTCGAAGTGAAAAGTACTTTTACAAGATTAGTAGGACGCTGAACCTGCACCCACCCTGGTTAGTTGAAGGGTAGAAGTAGTCGAGAAGTTCGTGTATGTGAGTAGATGTGTAAGTGTTGGTGGTGTTATGACTGATGAGTTGAGGTTATGTATAGTGAATGTCAGAGCGGCTTATGCCAATCTGGGCTATCTTTGGCGTCTTCTTCTTGATGTTATTTGGGGTGTTAAAGTCGCGCGTTAGTGATAGCTGCTTTTCTCTATGAGTGTAAGACCTGACCTCTTTGAGTTGAAGATTCAAAGTGACTCTGTCTATGATCACCGTTGCTTCCGAAAGATTGCCAACATCCAGTGACTACACAATGTTAGTAACGTAGATTGTGGCACAGCGACGGTAATTCAATTAATACCACCATCTTGAAACTTCGATTTTGGTGACTTGGACATGTACTACGAATGTTGTCCCAGTGAATTCCATATCATATATTATTTACAGACTCTGAGAGTGTTTGGAAAAGGCGGAGAGATTGTCAGTATGTGATTGACCTTACTTTTATGTTTTGTTTTCTTGTATTAAATTCATGTGTTTTTATTTCTATAATTTTTTTGGTTCACTGTTACCAGTTGGTATATGAATTCCTACTTCGTTTCATTGAATCTCCGAATTTCCAACCAAATGTTGCTAAGCGTTATTTCGATACAAAATTTGTATTACAGGTATGATTGTTTCATTTCATCTTATTTATTAAAATTACTCAGTTAAATACTCCATTTTTTTCTGGTGCTTAATTTATCCTACTTCCTCAAGTAATGTCAATGATATTTCCTTGTAATAAACTGTTAACAACATCTATTTTATCATGAGAAACAGTAAAATTGGGCTACAAAAAGATGGTTGTTTGTATAAGTGAATGATTTCAACTTTTGACTATCGTAACGAATGGTTGGAGACTTTGGGTGATATATGGCTCAGAATCGATCACGATGGTGTCGGTGTATACACACTGTCTTCCCTTAAACCCTCAAGTTGAATTTGGTTTATATCTTTCTTTCTATGAGCTAATCCTTTCTTCATGTACTATATCCTTATATGCAGTCTTTTATATATTACTACCATTGAATTAACTACTATGAATTTGGTATGCTAATGAGATGTGGCAACTTAGACCGATGTATATATGTGCCTGGTTCTACGTTGTAGCTGACTAATTGACTGACTATGACTAATTCGTTATGAAAACTCTGTGTAAATAGTTGTTCCATTATGTAGTTGGATGGATAGTGTTAATAGATTAGAATATTGCATGTGTTTTAAGGAAAAAAGCGTTCAGTTTCACTTAATAAAGTAAATTAGGTTGATCATTATAATTTATTGTAACAGTAAAGAATTATCATCATAACTAGGTTCAATAAAAGAGATTAGATAGTGACGAGTGCATTTGATAATCAGGTGGTCGTAAACAACTTAGAGCGGAAGCTCAGTATCACGATATCAAACCTGATAAATGTATGGCAATGTAGTCGAAACAACAGTAATGCTAGTGAGAGCGATTAAACATAAAAGAATATGTTTTATAGAGAAATGGTGATTTTGAGACGAAAATGTTGGGACTAAAGACTTATAGAAAGATAAAGAGTGAATGGATCTGCGGCACTATGATCTATTCTAAATTATGTCATCAAACTCCCGATTAAGTTTGTATTGTGCATCTTAGCCAGATATTTTGCAGTTAACAAAGTTTATTAGTTTACAGGTCAGTATGCTGATGCTGTGCTATAGTATGACTACCTCCATCTAATTTTGATGTATTCCTACTTCAACCAAGATTGCACGCCGAAATATTGGGTGGTTACACATACAGCTGGCTTCATTTCCTCATCAACGGATTTTCCATCTTCATCTAGTACCCCATTTCGCTCATCGAAGAGAACTATTCTATCATCGAACACAGAGTCGCATGGAATCTTCAACTCGGAGAGGTCAGGTCTCACACTCATAAAACAAAGCTGCTATCATCAACATGTTGTGGGTCCGAACTTTAGTCAGTCAGTTAGTCAATAACAACGTGGAACTTCGTACGTACATACATCAGTTCGAGTTTCCATACCACATTAGCACAGAGATGCAGTTGTCAATTCAAATCCCATAGTGGTAGAAGTGGGAAGAGTATAAACAGTAATCGGAAACACTAAGGTTTAAGGATGTTATTCAAGACATATAGTCCAGTGAAATAAATTTGGAAGGAGGAAAAAAGAAGGGACATGAAGGATTCAGAAGATTAGAATTTGGGAGAACATAAAGAGTGGATGTACCTGCGCAATCGCTAACGATTTTGAGTCATGTCATTTAAGGTCTCTAACCATCGATTGCTATCGTCTCGCGGATCGCAACCAGGTAATCTACAACTACCAACATAGCACAGTCCACTTGTCAGTGACTTCACGGATTTATGCCATGTTTTGTTCCGGCCGCCCCTAGATATCTTCCAACTTACTCCTACACCAGAAAACATTGCACGTCGGGGCAGTCGGTGGTTGGGTATACGTAACACGTGTCCCAGCCATCTCAACTGATGAAGTTTCACTTCTTCATCAATTGATTTCCATCATTATCTAGTACCTGTTTCCTAACAGCTGAGTTGCTTACTCGGTGGTCCCAGGATATACGAGCAATGTTTCGAAGACACCTATGATCGAATACTAGTAACTTGCGAATATCCTCTGCTCTTACCGGCCATGTTTCACTGTCGTAAAGTAGGACGGAACGAACTGCTGCGCAGCAAACACGTCCTTTGGTTGATAGACGGATATCCTGCCTATGTCATAAATGACGCAAGTTGGCAAAAGCTAGTCGAGCGTTCTGTACCCGTGCTGAGATTTCGTCACATACCAGACCACAAGGGCTGATGAGACTTCCATGATAAGTGAAGCGGTCGACACGCTCAACTACTTCACTCCCTATCATTAGTTCGGGTGTCAACGCAACCCAATCCTGAAGCAACATTTTGCATTTCGAGGGGAAGAATCGCATCCCCAACATGTTTGCATTGTTGCTTAGAATGATCAGAAGACTTTGCATTTTGTCAGCGTCTTCACCAAATAAAACTGTCATCAGCATATTCTAAGTCAACAAGTGAATCTCCTGGTAGAAGTTCAACCCCTGGAAATCTAGACGAGGAAAGTGTTATCTCTAAAAGTACGTCAGTGAGAAAGTTAAACAAGAATGGAGAGAGTGGACAGCCCTGACGAGCACCACTCGAGGTTATCAATTCTGATGACAGTTCGCCATAAGCTCCCACTCGACCAGTTGTGTTCGAGTAGAGAGCCTTTATAAGGTTAATGTACTTCTTTGGTACTCCTTTCAGTGACAAACACTGCCACAGAACCTTACCATCGACAGAGTCGAATGCCGCCTTAAAGTCGAGAAATACTGCGATTGTGGGTCGTCTGAATGTGTGTCTGTGTTCTAGGACCTGACGAAGTGTGAATATCTGATCTATACAACCACGTCCAGGTCGAAAACCAGCCTGATTTTCTCTAGTCTGTTCTTCACGAGCTTTGTTTACCTAAGACCTCGGTCAATATCGCTGCTAATACTGGACCACCGTCCCTAAAAATCTCAGGAGTAAACCTGTCAGGGCCTGCTGCTCTCCCTCGTTTCAGATTTCCTATGGCTTTTTCAACTTCGTAAAGGGACGGAGGACCTACATTAACTTGCCATTCAGGTTGGACTGGAGATCGTAGGAAACCGAAGTGTGACTGAAGGCCAGTTGAACTGATCCCTGAAGTGTTCTGCCCATCGATCCAATCTCCTGGATTGAGAATGTATAATACGTCCATTTTTTCTGTGATAGTTTCGCTAATAGTCGGGTTCCTAATACCGGTTTCCTTAACGAGTCTGAACAGTTGTCTGCTATTACCTATTGCCACTGCCTTTTCCATCTCTCTTGCTTTCGCTACCCACCACTGTTCGCGATCATTGCGTAAGCTTCTTGTTAGCTTGCGCTTAAGCTGAATCTGTTCTTCGTCATGTTCAGATCCATATGTACTGGGTTTTCGGGCATCTATCAGTGCGGTAGATGCTGCTGTTTCTCCATAACCTTGTGGTTTACCGTACTAGCAGATATCACTGCTGTTTCCACAGCTTTTCGGATATCATTCCACGCTGCCTCGGGGTGAACATCATTTACATGGCTGCCTAACTGTTTTTCTATTTGTTCCTCAAATATACTCTTAACTTGACCATCATTAAGTAGGACCTTAAGGGGTTTCCTTGCATCATCTTTCCGACGTCCAGTAAGACGTAGACAAATACGCGCTCGCACTAGAGCATGATCTGAATCTAAGCATTTGCTCCAGAATGAGCGACAGTCTTCTATCGAGCCCCTCCATCGGTAACTGATAGCGATGTGATCTATTTGGGTCCAGCGTTGGGACGAATTCGGGGGTCGCCATGTCAAAACATGTTTTTCCTTATGCTTAAAGTCAGTGTTTGCAAGAAACAGGCGGTTATCTGAGCATAACTGCAATAGACGGTCGCCATTATCTGTTCTTTGAGCCACGACACCATAAGATCCACCTAGGTGTCTTTCCCTATCGCTTAGTTTACCTACTTGAGCATTAAAGTCACCGGCCATTATTACTACATCCGAGCGCCTAGCTTTTAGGAGGAGGTCGGAGAGCTTTCTGTTAAACTCATCTTTGACATCATCTGAGCTGCAGTCAGTGGGAGAATAGGCAGAGACGACGAAGAGGCAACGATGAGTGTCCCTATCTTTTCGGATCCTTACTGTTCCGTTCAGTCGGACAGCGCACAAACGACTGTCTACTGGGATCCACTCTAAGAGAGCTAGTTCTGCCCTAGGACTCAATGTTATACCTACGCCGGCGAGGCCACGGGAAGCAGAATCAGGGCTTCCAGATACACGAAGCGTGAATCGAGTCGGTTCTTTATTTTGGCATGGTGAGGTCAGATGAATGACGCTACTCGGATCCTGTATGTGCGTTTCGGAGACGCAACACACATCGATGGCGCGAGATTCTAAAGTCCTAGCTAAAGGAGCCTATTGTCCTATTTGGCACACTGTTCGGACGTTGAAAGCTCCTACGTGTAGTTTAGAGCGTGGTTTCAGGAGACCAGGAATAGCGTTCTGCGTGCTCGAATCGTTTGCCCTAGCGGTGGGAGGTGATAAAGGGATGTGAGAAGGGTTAGTCTTGGAGATAAGAGATTTATTTGGAGGTGTAGGAAGGATTTGAATGTGACCAACTTGGCCTCGTGTGTTATACATAACCTGATCTCATCAGTCATAACACCACCAACACTTACGCATCTACTCACATACACGAACTTCTCGACTACTTCTACCCTTCAACTAACCAGGGTGGGTGCAGGTTCAGCGTCCTACTAATCTTGTAAAAGTACTTTTCACTTCGAAGGTGCAAAACGCATGCCATACTTACGAACACTGATTGATATCTGATTAAGTGTGGGTGGTATGGCTTGTGTATCATCCGCATAGTCAAGGTCTTTCTTCGTGTGATAGATCCATACCACCATTACTTACGTCCATCAAAGCTGTTTCCAGAGTGTCATCGATGGCAAAGTTGCAATCCTACCTAACCCCATTGTTTGAATTAAACAATGAAGAGAAGTGGTTGTATGCTCTCACTACTCTACCTGATGTATTAGTATAAAGGAGTTTTAAAATGTTAACAAA